ACATTTAAGACAATCACCAAACACAGCTCATAAATCATGCACCAGAGTATGAACACATTTAAATGTGACTGAGCACAAAATTCTTACATGTGGTGAAGTTCAAGTCTTCTATTATTAAAGACCCAGTGATGTTTTGGGGAAAGGACACATTTCTCACATAGCCTCTGAATAGATCAATGAAATTTGGGGGCAGACTGGATATTGGGAAGAGCAAGTTCAAGTCTATAATAAACTTCACTGGCTCTGTAGAGGAGACAAGAAGAAAATCACAAAACTCTTTCACAATTACGAGAAACAATTTCACATATTTTTTTTAATTTTTATATCACATTTATCTAACATGTCTCTACTTCTATTGTAACTTTACATGTTAACGACTATTGAAAAAGCTGTCATGTTACAGTAATCTGTGGTAAATAGACATTCGTGCTTTAACCTCCCAAGACCCGAACTCTTTCGTGGCATGCATTTTAATTTCTCTTTGCTATTTGGGCTGATTGGGACCTGATGAATTTAAAAACAAAGAACTATGTGATTTTTTTTTAACCTGATTTTTGTTTCTGAGAAAAATGACATCCACATATGAGGACATTCGGTTTAAATTTCGATAGAACAGTGGCAGTATAACGTCCTTGTAAGTGGATATCAGGCCCTTGAAGAGCAAAATTTAGTCATTTGGTCTAGACAACCCAAAATGTGTTGTCCACATATGTGGAAACCAGGTCCTAGGAGGTTAAATTAAATGTGTTATAACATATGGTGATGTCTCTCATACACAACATATTTGTCACTACAGCTATAGAATTTTTGAAACATATTTCATAGCAAACTTCTGTATTAGGCAAATTAAAAAAAAAAATCAAACATATGCACACACTTCTTGTTTTTTCTAAAGTGAATGAAGATTGGTGCCATACAATTATCCCACCCTGTTAAATTTAAAGTAAAAGCAATAATTAGAAGAAAATGGATTTTTTTCATACCAGGAGGGTTTGTTGGACTTGGAGAAATACCTGTAAACCAAGATAAAACATTTAATTATTTATTTTTAATACCCAGGAAAACAACACAATAACGGTTTACATACATCATCTTAAGAATTTGCTATTTAGACAGAAGTACAGGCCCATATCTCTTGATTCAAGAAAAAAAAATAGCATATAGCATCTATTGTTAAAATTGTTAAAAATAGCATCTATGAAAGAATGGATCTTTCTAAAGAGCTCACTAACTCACTAACTACAGAGGTCCAAACCTTCTCTGGCATGAGCTTAAAGACATGAGTTTCCTTGGCTGGGCAGCTGCAGCTGATCCAATTGAACATAAATTAGTTAATTTTAAAAAACAACAGTGATTTTGATGCAAATTGTTATTATAATGTTATTATAATGATAATTCCGAACATTATTCCAACAATCAATTTAACAATATAAATTTGGAGGCTATTTATATCTTGCATTTAATTAGTAGAAGTATTATTATTATTGTTAAAACTGAAAATTATTTAAAAACATTAACTCATCAGTTTGAAGTGATAGCCATGAGTGAGCCTTTAGTAACAAATAGAAAATGCAGATTTTTTTGTTAGGAATTATGGCTCTTTTATAGAACAAAGAAATTGGTGTGATGTTTTATGGTGGTGGTGTACAGAAAGATTTTCAGTGTAAGGAAATGTAGGTCTATCAGTACTGTAGACAATATTTTTGGGAAAATATACACCGTAATTGTCGGGCTATAAGCCGCTACTTTTTGCACAAGCTTTGAACCCTGCGGCTTTTAGTCAGGTGCGGCTTTTCTGTGGATTGGATTGGATTGGATTGGATCAAATCACTTTTATTGATGTGACAATAAAAGTGATTTGATTTGATTTGATTTGATTTGATTTGGATTGTCCATGATTTTTGTCAGATTTGTTTTGTTTGTTCCGCTGTTGTACGGCACTACGTTGCCTGGCGGAAGGGCACGTGATCAGACACACAGTATTGGGGTTCAAGAGTGGTATGTTCATCACATGTCCGTCCGCCAGGCAACGTAGTGCTGTACGAAGTAGCGCGAAAAACAAACTTCTAAGTAGCGCTAAGCGTTCAGTGGGAGGCGTGGATGACGAGCAGCGATAAACTTGCGAAAAGCAAGTTATGCTCAACTCCACCAGTGGATTCTGACAGCGTGTAAAAGTGTGAAAACATCCACGATCACCAACGGATTTCGAAGGGCTGGACTGCTGCATGATGGAGAGGAGGACACCGCCACGGCCCTTCTGAGGGTGTTCGACTCTGACACTGACAACGAGGATTTCTTTGGTTTTGTAAGTGACAACGAAGGAAAGAAGCTGAGAGTGGATGACGAAGCCATCCTGAGCCTGTTCGTATCCGACACTGGAGGACTTTGGTGGTTTCAGTGGGCAGGAAGATGGCGGTGAATGACTGACTTTTCTTCTTGTTAAAGCCGTGTCACTGCACCTGAGCCTAAAAGGTAGTCCAATCTATTTTTCTGGTGTGCTGTAGGTTATTGTTATGTACTACATTTGTTACTTGTTTATGAAGCACAGTACACGTTTCGTACTTGTAATTACCGCTACTTGTACATATACTTAAAAAGTTGTGCAAATATGTACCCATAACTTGTTTTTCAAAATATTAATAAAAGGGGTGTGTCTCCAAACAGCCATCTCTTTTTTGACAATTCCCTTTGTGCATATTCTCTTACATATGATAAGTCAACATTGAAACACCTGCAGCTTTTAGTCAGTTGCGGCTAATGTATGTACAAAACAGGATTTTCCCCTGATTTTAGCTTGTGCGGCTAATATTCAGGTGCGCTCTGTAGTCCGGGAAATACGGTACTAAGATATTATTATTTGTTTTTGGTGCCTTTAATGATCATTTATTGAAATGAAAGGAGCATAAATTGACAAAAAAGTTTTGTCATTTTAAGTTTTGGTGTCTAACACCCATTAAATGCCCATTAATTTCATTTAAAACATTTAATAAACTGTTTATTTATTTATTTGAAATTATATTTAATTAGCCCCGTTTAAATTCGTTTTATCTGTCAACCTAACTCATCAAACTCAGGGGGCGGGCTTAATGAGGCCACTGCAGTTTGTCTAATATCTGATTGGTTACCATGCAAAGTAAGCCAAGACAGGTCGATCCTAGATCATCGATTGCTATGAACTGGTTGTAGTGTGGTCTTGGGGCAGCCAGGTATCCCAGAATGCATTTCAAATCACAAGCAGCAATGTAGGTAACGCTCTAAACAGTTTCAAACATTTTCACATACCGCTTTTTTCTGTCACAAACTATACTTTTAATGTTTTAGCTGCAAATGTAGTGGCATAATCTTCACATATCAGGTTAGGTTGTCAGCATAGAACATCTTTGCTAAAGTGCTCCGATGTTCTTGAAGATTTCTGCCTGGTTTTATGTCTCTGTAACATAAATAACAAGCCGGCATTTTTCTTACGACATCAGCGATCAGCTCGACGGACCCTCAGTTTACTTGCATACATCCTACTGTCAGCTGTTGAGCACCTGCTGCTGATTCAGGAAACAGGCCCATGTTATCTGGTGATAGTCACACTTTAACTTGGGCAGGTGCCGCTCTATATAACGTCACATCGGCGCAATATTGTGCACAAGATGAGTAAATGTGGTTTGTTTCCTAAACCCAGAGCTGCTTGAGCTTGTGTTTCCCTCAGAGTGACTGACCTGGGTTAAAGATGACTGTTCACTTATACTTCCTCATTTTTCGTCCTGTGTTATATTGTGGGGATCAACCTTTAAAACAATAATATTCCAGTTGTCATTAATATAGGGTCATTAACAATGCTGGTTGTTATGATAACACTGAGCCACTGTGTCTAAGGTCCCATACAATGTAATGATTTTGTGTGTTTTTTAAATAATGCAAATAATGTTTAAAGCTAAATCCAAGTTACCACACAAATGTTTTCTCATTACTGGAATGTTTTGGTCAAACAAATTGAAAATTCTTCTATTTTTTCAGCTACAAGTTGCTTACTTGTGATTGGTTTACAGAGCTCTCCACTAAGAAGAAGCCCCAAAGGTTTTTGATGTGACATTGCTGCATGCACCATATGCAAAGTATTTAAAAGTAGAATATGAGGAACAGCCTTCAGCTTTCAGGCCCCTTCCTCTGTGGAAGCAGCTCCCAGTGTGAATTAATAGATCCTAAACCCTCCCCTTAGTCAGGCTGTAATGTCTAGGCTGCTGGGGGCTTCCCATGATTCCCTCACCTCTCTCTGTATATGTTTATACACACCTCTGCAGTTAGTCACCTACCCTCACCCTAAACCAGTCAGTGGAAATGGCTGCCCCTGCCGGAGCCTGGTTTAGCTGGAGGTTTCTTAGTGTTATAAAAAAAAATTCCTGGAGCTGCAACACAAGCCCAAATAATCTCCCTTCCACAGTTGTACTTGACAGTTCTTATTGAGTGTTTGTCCTGAAATGCTGTTTGGCTTTCAATACAGTATTCTCAACAGCACCAAAGAGTAAAACAGTTAAATGTTAGGTCTCTCTGAGACAGGAACTCTGTGTAAGAGTTCCTGTCTCAGCTCAGACAAAAAAATATATATATTTATCCATGTAGATGCTAAAAATGACAGCCTCAGCGCAGATTTAATCTGTTATTAGACTCAATTAGCTTCTTTCAAGGTCTTAAATAATCAGGCCCCATCTTATCTTAATGACCTTGTAGTACCATATCACCCTATTAGAGCACTTCGCTCTCGCACTGCACTGGTTTCTTTCTATTAAAAGGTGCTTGCTGATGAGGGGCCATATCTCTCATGGTTTGCCAGGGCAAGCCGTGTGGGGTGTGGAAATTAGGACCCAAGATACAGGCACTGACTTTGATGAGATGAGTGAGCTCTTATTTATGAGTGGACAAACTACAGACAAAAGTAGAGGTGGTGAGGAAAGGAACTAAGAAATAACCTAAACTGGAAAACCTAACAAATGAAACTGAAGCCAAAACTGACGGGATGACATGCAAAGGAAAAAAGGAAGGAACACAGGAAGGAACGCGGAGGAAACATGGGCTGTATCAGGGTCACTGATACAGCCCATGTTTAAGGCCTTAAAGACCGCATTTTAGGGCCGATTACGTCACAGCGACGTGACGAAGGCTGTCCCAATTCAAAGGCTGCTCGAAATGCGGCCCTGAAATGCGTCCTTCATTTCCCTGAATTTTAAGGATGTGGCGGTGTAGCCTTCATGGCCCAACATATCCTAGACTTCATAGCGCGGCGGTGGGTGTGGATAATTTTGCCGAAAAAAACGGCAATGGCTGAAGCAGAGCGGCCAAAGAGTAAACTTTTAAAAGTAAGTTCTGAATATTATGTCACTTATTTATGTGCAAACGTTTAATAACGAAGAACATTAAAACATTACTGTTGGCCACATGTCGGCAAAGTTATGTAACATTAGTGACGTTTGTATGTTTACTTGGTTTTAAAGCCTTTACTTTCAAATATACACCGTTCGATAGTCGACCTTAATCCTACAGAGAATGTGATGATTTTATGGATAATTAAATTCAGTCATATATCCACAAACACAACAAGCTGAAAGTCAGTGATGCTGCTCGGTTTGCAGTCCTGAATATCACGGCACAAGCAGGATTCACTGCACTGTTAATGTTAGCTATGTTATATTGCTGCCTCTGTTCGGTGGTGTCGAGCCAAACGGACTTTAACGTGTGTTTGAACGAGCTGACGGTTCACTCGTTAAGCTGAAAGAAAGATGCTTTAATCACAGCAGTCACACATGTGTCCACTGCACCATCTGGGAACTCTTCTTGTTTCGTAATAACACAAACACTAAATCCTCCTGTTTGTAGCAGTGTATACACCTGAGACTGCCACCTGTCTGTCTGTCCTGCACTCGCTCTCTGTTTCTTTCTCTCTGATTGTGGAATAAAAGTATGAACATGTGTTTATAAGTTACACTTGTGTTTGAATCCTGCAGCTTATCACACATTTGATTTCATGTGTGACGACTGCAAGTGTCCAGAGAGAGGACAGACTGAGGGACACACTGCTGCACATCATCTGTGAGGCTTTGCACCCCTGATGATCCACCAGGACAAACTCAGCAGTGTGTGAGGAAGAGGAGGAGGAAGAGCCAGCAGCAGCTGACAGATGGAGAGAATAGACAGACTGTTCCCTGTTTGTGAAGGACTGCTAGAAAAGTTATAACTAATTGTCTGTCCTGAATCAGTCTGGTAATGTTCAAATCATTTTATCATCCCAGTGTTTCCAGTGTGGGAGAAAGTACTCAGGGCCTTCAAGTTACACACTATGAAAGGCAGCAACAAGTTTAATATTCAGAAACCTAAAGTATGTATCAGCAGCAGAATGGAGCTAAAAATAAATGTTTGTTTCAGTTCTATGAAGCTTTGAGTATTTTGGATTAGTAGCACTGCTGTGTTTGTTGCATCATATTGCTGTAATTGTTTATATTACAGAAGTCAGCCTGTTTATGGCTCTGATATCTATTCTGTATGACTTAAAGCAGTTATGACATGGTCTGATTTTCTCACCCAATAAAGGAATATTTCATATATCAGTCTACTCTTCATTCTATCAGAAACAGTTATCACAGCTCGTACATTTGCTTTTTCCACATATACGTAAGCATTGAGCCAAATTTATTAATGCCAACATATTAAAAGAACAATATTTGTCTCTTATATATAATACATCTATAGATACACTGTCAAATAAACTTGTCTTTGAGTGAAGCTTTAAGGCGATAGGACATATAAATAACTGCAACTCGAATCTTTACTGAAGCTCAGTATTTGACACGGAGTTCAAACTCACTGCTGTAATAACTAATAATGATTAATATAATAACTATAATATTGGCCATATTATATTTACATTACCAAAGTGAGATGACTTTAGTCTCATGAACAACATTAGCTAATTGTTATTTATTAGCTAATCTTAAATGACTGTTCAGTACAGAAATTAAGACTAACAATCATGTTTTACAGTCCTGTGGTCTCAGCCTCAGATACTTATCAAATCACACAGAGCTCATGTAGAAACAAATGAACAAAATATGTTCTCCTTCATTTCTGTCAAACAAAGCTGTATGAAACGTTTCCAGTTGTTAGTATCATGGTTGCTAGGCAACCTGGGCAGCGCGACGGAGGCATGTGCGTGTATGTGTCCAGAGTTCAGCTGAGACAGTGTCCTTCGCCCTGCCAGGCTAAGTAAACAGTCTTCCAGCCAACCCAGGTGGCCTTGCATAGAATGGGTGAACAGTCTAAACACAGTCGTTCTTTGTTCGGCTCTAGCCTTGAGACCGCAGCTGGCGCCGAAAGGGTATCCACATGAAGTGATGGTGTTTTTTACTTTAGTGCAAACAACTCATATGAATTTCAAAGCTGTTCTAACAGTCCGACACTGGTCTCTCAATCTCCCGTTGGAGAGCCGTGAGCTTCTCCATGATGTTATCAAACTTACGCTCTGTGATGTTGTCATTCTTGTGCTCAAAGAGCCGATTCTGAGAACTCACAACCGCAGTGAGCTTCTCCAAGATTTAATCCAATGTACACTCAGAGGTCTTGTTCTGAGTATTCACAGCAGCCGTAAGCTTCTCCAAGATCTTATCCGTGCTGCACTCGATGAGCCCATTTTGAGAAACTCATTTCGTTTCAATCCCAGCGGGCAGCCTTGTGGGGGTTTGAACAGCCGGTTCCGCTTTCTTAATTCTTCGATAAGCCAGGGCCAAACTAGCTCCGATCAGCCAGAACCCTGTTATCATGGTTCCGAATAGGTAGATATCTTCAGCACTCAGGCTCACCCAAGCATAGACTTCTCGTTGAGAAAAGGGTGTCAATTGCATTCAGGGACCAGTTGATCAAATCCATAATTCCTCTTTTAGGTTTTAGAGAACAGACTGTGAGAGAATGTTCCAGGGAAAAGTAATACAAAAAACACAAGACTAGACAAGGATATAAGAGGCTAAGCAGGGAAGCTAAGGGAGAGGAGGAGGAGGAGAAAAGTGTGACCGCCTTCGTCAAGAGCAAGAGTCTTCCCACATACATCGCACACAAAATAATTTGTGCTACACATAAGCGCAGATATGATCTGTGAAAAAAAGTCAAGATTGTGTGTTTTGTGGTCTAAGGTTTTGTGCCCAGGGTTTCTCATTGTCTCACACATTTGCAGAGCCTTAGAAAGCACATGAATGAGAGGCGGAGGCGATTAAAGTTTATATTAACAGGTTATTAATCAAAAGAATATCTCACCTGAACAGATGACAGCAGCATCCTGACCATGTTCACATCTGTTTGATCCAAATCCACTGTGCTGACACTCAGTTAGAGAACTTTCATTTCCTGAACAGGTCACATTATCAAGCCA